TGTGGAAGAAGAATATCGTTACGAACTGCCACAAAACTGTGCTGGGACACACATGACACAGGTCACCACCTACCCCCTTTCCTCGATGGTGGCGTCCACCTCGACCTCGCTGATCTGGACCTCGGATTCGCGCCGCTTCGACGACTTCTTGACCTTTTTCGTGCTCTTCTTCACTTCCGTTTGCACGGTTTGCATAATTTCCACGTCCGCCATCGCGCCCGCTATCTCGCTCGCTCTAATGACCGACTGAACTTTCTATAATTATTGTTGTTTCTTATGGATTTCAGAGTGGTGTCTGTATGGGTGTTTTAGTTATAGTTTTATTTGTCTAGTTTTGTTGTGTGTATTTTCGATCGATTTCGGGAGGAGTCCAGCACGGTATGAACTTTGCCGAGTCGGGATCTCAACTGGCGCAGCGGTTTCCGAAAATGTTTTTCAAATCGCTGGCTGCTGCACCGCTTTCAGTCCGCTCTGTATCTAGTTTCGCCACCGCCAAGTGTAAAAATAAAATCTCGGAGAGGAAAAGAGAACACTGCGATCTCAGGGGAGATCGGCAGAGATCTTGGGAATATCTCTTTTTTTCGGAGCGGAGAAGACGGGCGGCTGAATAATTGCAGTAGACAATGTAAATATCGCCAATGATTAACGGCATTATTGAATTTGCAATGCGATTGGGTAATTTTCTATTTGATTTCGGCCAATTTGCATGCATTATTTCGTTCGCGTTTCCCGCTAAAAATAGTAAATGAAAAATCCAACGCATTTCAGGTGCCAAAAGGTGTGGGCGTAAGGCGGTCCACCTGCCGCCGGTCAAAAGGGGTGTGCCACCGCCCTGGCCAACCCCCCTAAAATCATAGCCCCGCGAAAAGTGCTTGTCAGAGTTTTAAAAAATTTTCAATTTTTCACCAAAAGAAATGTAGTGGTAGTGTGTCTTCTTGTTGTTGCTGGCGCTTGTGCACACGACACACAAGAAGCACATTCAAACACTCGCGTAAATGGAAAACCTCGGAAAATTCTCTTTCTTCCCACACTGCACTACACACGACACGATCGCTACGCAGTGGAGCATAAATCTATATTGGATCGGATCTAAAACGATGATCTGCGTCTGGCATTTTGGATTATCGCACCCCTGCGGTATTTTCGTATTTTCCAATAGATTTCCCTAATTGATCTCCAGCCCCTACATTTTCGTATTAGTATTAATATATGGAATTTATTTTCGCATTCCGATATTTCTTGATTTTCTGGCATTACAGCATTTGGCATACAGACATCATTGAAATGCCAATGGGCAAAAATGTTTACTGAAATGAAATGAACCAACAGGTGTGCCGGCATATTACAAAAATACTCGCTAATTATTGTATGAAAAAATTCCGATATTAAGCAAAACTATAAATTGAAAGGGTACGTCAGTCGTAAGAAGTTAATTTTATTCCTTCGCATTTATCTGTTTATTTCCATACTTAAAAACTCTTTCTGTTTAGTTTATGATTTCGATATGCTTTCATTAAAAGCTATTTTATATTTATTACAGAAATACAAGAAAGTTTCTAAGACATTTTAGAAAATAAGCTGGTGAAAGAAAAAACTTTTGACGTTTGATGAATCCATCAACAAGAATGTATAGCTTTTAATGGATCTCTTATTCATCATGACCTCATCTGGTCCTAAATCAATTCTACAATTTTCGGGCAAATTAAAATAGTTCAGGCCAATTAATAACCAATGTTTATTTAACAGCAGAACCAATTTCCATTGGACAAATTGGCGCGACACCTAAGGGCATCTGGCCAAGGTAAATTGGCGAGGACTAAACAAGTACAAATGAACAATGGGTCGGGGGAATGTTATAGTGACAGTTCGGTAGAACAAGTAGATGGCAATTAACAAGGCCTCAAATGAACGCCCTTCGAGGTCGACAGGCTAACCCAAGCGCGGAATAAGAAAAACCCGTCAGATTAAAATGAATAATAAACAAAATCAACAACTCGTGAAATGTTCTGCCTAGAGGGAAAGCATCCACAAAAAATATATGTTTATTGTTTAAGAATCAAAATGTTGATGTAAACTGATTCACTGCTGAGATGTGAATTTATGGCTTTTATAATGTTGTGACGTGGGTTGCAAAAAAAAAATGGAAGGGGGCTTTATGCAATTAAATATCAAGGCATTATTCTCCATAACAAAACAAAAGCATAAAATAAAATCATTGATTTATTACAACGATTGAAATGGTTAAACTTTTGTAGATTGTTCGATCTAAATTAATTTATGGCTACAAAAATTATTATCTAAAGATATATTATGGAAATATACTTTTGAAGTATTTAACAATGTATTTAAAATAGATAATGATAATAGATAATCAACCTCCAAAAATTAAATGAAATGTACCATTAATATAATATTATATTTTCAAAGCTTAAAGCATGTTAATTGCAATATATTGGTTTCTTTTCCTTATTTGTTATTTTTAAATTTTTTGATCAATACATCTTTAGGTAATACATTTTCCGAATCCTTTTTGAAAAGGGCATTCCAAATTAAAAATGTTTAAAACTTGTTGGACTATTTTTATACAATAATATATGGACTTCATCGAAAGGAAATACGTTTCCGGCTCATTTCTGCACCCGAATTACGCTTGCTCCTATCTATCATATACAGTTTATGATATATGTTCGTGCCGGGGTATATTCACATACTTATAGAATAATGCATCGCGTGTGTATATTAGTTGTTGCTATTTTCGCCGCAGACATGAGCAACAACAACTGCAATGGAGCCGAGTGTAATGCAATCTGCGAGTTGGTCCAAAAATAAACTGCATTTCGCGAATCTTTGATAAAAAGTTTTTGCGTGATGTGACTGCCCCCTCCCTCGCCTCCTCATTACGATTATTTGGCATTTTTCACGCAGGCGTTAAAGCGTTAATTGGGTCATAAATTCAGACACACACATATAGACAGCCGCGTATTTTCCAGCGTATTTTTATATTTTTTATTTCTTGTTTATTGGGCGGGAAGTGAAACAGCAAACAGGGAAACTTTCCCATAGACAAGTAGCCTATTCTGTGTAAATTATTTAATGGGGTATGTCTATAAGTTCAAGTTTAAGAACAGCTGCGCCCCAAAAAGATTTGCTTTTAATTTGGCATATTTTTAATTTGTCTTTAATTTGGTCGAGGCAAATCAAATGAAATCATGTTTTTTGGAAATTTATTGAAAAATACACAAATGCAAGCAAGTGCTGCCAAAAGGATGACTCTCTATATATCGGAATGCAAAAACACATGTTTGGCTGTGTGGAAAAAGGTGTTTCATTTAACTGACACTGAAAAAGAAAAAAATATAATTTACCAGCTGAACGCACAAAATTCAAGTGAATTTTTTAAAAATTATTTAAGGCAATTTTCTGCCAGCAATACAAATACTATATACGCTTGTACTTTGGGGGAAAAAATATGAAAGAAAATATAACCAAAGGCTTTTAAGTGTGCCCCGAAAGAAAAATGAATTCATGTCAAAGACAAAACTATTGAATAAGACTTTTTGGCAGCGTTTTGGCCGTGTTTGCTTGGATGTGGCTCTAACGCAAGTTCGGAGAGATACATTTATTTGCCGCACAGATGCATTACGTAATGAGTTTTACAGAAATAAATTCCAAATGGCCCGTTTTCCCCAGTGCAAATGTGAAGAACAAAGCCAAGTGAGCTGCGTAAACAAATCACTCGAGTGACACACTTTCCTGTTGGCCTGTCACAAATATTTTGGGAATTTTTCATTTCCAATTTCCCCTTTTGCGGGCTGACAGTCGCTGAGATAATTTGTTATCTATGCGAACCTTTGTCGATTTTCAGTGGCTGACTTTAGCTTAATTTGACTAAGGATATGACATATAAAACTTGACAGGGGCATATCGCCAAAAAATAATAAGCAAAAGCAGTGCGAAATATAATATATTCTTCAAAACTGACATTAGCGGAAAAACCTGAATGAATGAGCGACCAGAACTGGAAATCTTTTCGATAAATAAGCATACTTTCGGGATTAGAACACTGCATACTTTGGGGAAGAACCAAAATTAATTAGAAAGTAATTTAGGGAAAGACTCTTAGTTTTATTTTACACAATTCTTTAACCAAAGGTAAAATATAAAATAAGAACAAAAAACAAAATAGTAAAATGATGTAATAATTTCTTTTTCTTTACCTTCTTTAATTATTAAATAAATAGTTTGAAAGAAAAATTAATAGTTTTTCATGAATGGTATTTGACACGATCTTTATAATTGCTTTAAGTCTGTCTTAAACATAAAAAACAATACCCTCAATATTAATACTATTTAATAACACAAATTAAAACTTCAAAATAGTTAATTTAATTTTGAGCTTCAATTGAAACTTCAAATTGAAACTTCACTCTAGTCATCTCTACTTTGAATTTATTTTTTTTTTTCATTATAAATATAAACAGCGGATGTCTACATATTTTACTTTTTACAAATTCTAGTCTAACATATTGCCAATTAGCCCTGACCTTAGGCCCATTATTCAGACTTAAGACCAATAAAATCCAAGTGTACAAGCAAAACAAACTATACATAATTCGTGGGCATGACAGTTTGTTTTTGTGGCGTTTATAGTCGCAATGACAAGAGCATTAAAAATCGAGTAAATCTATATGGCGAGCAGTGGGATTTGTGTGTTGGCCCATCAGCGGGCTCATTGGCAATACTCGTATGTCAAACGATGACATCATCCGAGAATGCAAATTGGGCCACAGATATATAGTGTATTTACAATAAAACGGGCAATTGTGGCACGATTTATGGTCTGTCTTCTTCTGCGGTTGCACTTGGATGGATGACACCGGTGCTGCCGCATTAATGATCTCAATGCCCGAGTATTTCGGTGGCCGGTGCAGAATTGGCACAAGCCAAACAGATTCGAAATTCGGTGGGGTAATACACACCCCTATTTATAGCAACCAGAGTACAACGTATTTGTTTCTTCATTTATTCAGTTGGCTTTTATTCTCGGCATTTTTATAAAGACAAAATCGTTAAGTAAACTAACAGCTATATGGTAAACAATCCTTCAATCGTTCGGTATTTCTTGGGTTCAAAGTTTTCTGGGTCGTTAGTATAATACATAGTTTATACAGTGCGGGTTCTGGGACCCCATGGTCGGGTGTTTACCCTCAGTCAGAGGAGCGGATGCTGGATGCTGGATTCTGGACACTGGAACTTTAACTAGGACTGGTTTCATGTACAGCGTGCTCGGTTTTGGATGTGGCTTGGACTGGATTGTGCTGGGCTGTGCTTGGCTTGACTTGGCTTATGAACATGTCTATAAGAAACAGATAGAGAGTAAATCAAATGAGTGATAGAGTGGTTGGGTCCAGGATTAGTATTCAAACCAAGCGAGCTAGAAGAGCGGATAGAAGTTGGCATCTTTCAGAATGTCGAAGGTGTCCACAACGGATCGCGCTGGCACAACTGCAGCCACTGTAGTTGACAATGATGGAGGAGTCTCTCCAATCTCTTCGATCGAAGATGCTGGGGTTATGCAAACACTTTGTCCAGTACTGATGGTGGAGAGCAGGTTCTGCTGCGTGGATTCTGGACTCAAATTAGTGGACACCGAAACGGGAGCAATCTCTGCCAGAGCAGCAGCCAAAGCCTGATCCAAGTGAGAATCTTCTGTAGCCTGTGGTATGGTTTCTTCTTTAGTATCCTTGTTGCCTTCCTTTGTCTTCTTGCGTTTCTTGATCTTTTTCTTGGTGGACTGATCTTCGTCTCTCTCCTGTGGTTCAAATTCAGCTATACCCTCCAGGGATTCACCCACAAAGGCTAGACTGCTTCGAGGTGAGAAGAGTCCTGCTCCTCCATTGGCTTCTTCGTTAGTCAAGCTGCTTTTGGAGCTTCGTCTGGAGCGTGTCTTTCTCTTGGGTGGTTCTGCTACCTCCTGATCTTCATTTCGTCGAGTGTAGCCCATTTGTGTGTCCGAATCATTATCATCCCTTAGTTCCTCTTCGGTTTTGGATCCTTTACGAGCCTTCTTCTTGCTCTTCTTCTTCTTGGGCTTCTCAACGGGTAATTCTTCCAAGGGAGCCACTTCTTTTGGCTGTTCTTCTGGTAGATCTTCTTCCTGCGGAAGTTCTTCGGGCACATCTGATAGAGTTTCGCGAACAGGACTGCGACTGAATAGGGTGATACTTTCCCCACCTAAACTGATTCGGCGGTTCTCCAATAGCTCTCCATTTTCAACTTCACCGTTTGCTTCATTCATATAAGATAACTGGTCCAGATTCTCATCCTGCTCATCTTTCTGTTCTCGATTCTGCTCTTCTTCCTGTTCTCGATCCTGCCACCCGAATTCCTCCTCAAACTGATCCCTGGCTTCTTGATCTTCATTCTCATCTGCTAATTCTTGAGCATTACTTTCCCCTTCTTCGTTGTCATCTAGTCGAAAGTTCTTACGCCAGTTGTACTCCCTCTTGGGCTTGTAATTTAGGTCCACCTCTATGTCGTCCTCTAGGTCACCCACTTCCAGATTAGGATTGAAGCCATAGCGGGTACGTAGCCTGGTGGATTGCCGGGCCGCAACCTGTGCATCGCCCAAATAACGCATCTCAGATTCACGGCGTTCGTTTTCTGGCATCAAGCCCAAGGCTATGTCGACATCCGAATGACGGGTACTGGAATGAGATCGCTCCAGTTCCCTGGTCTTGGCCCACAGGGCATATTTCTCACTCTCCGAGCCGGACTTTTCCTTATCCGATTCGCTATGATCCGAGGGCAGTTGCTCCTGAACCATGGTCTCGTATTCCCTAAGAATGCCCGACTGCTTTCTGTTCTTAATGGCCTCGTTGTAGATCTGCTCGATGAAGGAGTCCGGATCGGAGTAAGGTGTAGCTCCACCCACAGCGCCATCATCGAAACCGTAGTCAAGGAAATCCTCCACGTCCTCCACCTCCTCCCAATCCTGAGCTCCCCGATTCTCGTAGCGATCTGCATTCCTCTCCGCCTCCTCACATTCTGAGGTGTCATGATGGGATTCATCGGTTGGTTGCGTCCGTTCGTTATTGTCCGAGATTCCCTCGTCCAATTCAAACTCGTACTCGTCTTCATCGTCGATCTCCACCACTGTCTGTCGTGTGTCCTCGCTGTCGTTGGAGCTGCTCCTTTCCTGATCGAGATACTCGTGGTCCCCTACAATATCATAGCTGTAAATGGCATTGGTGGCATCGAACTCAGCTGCCTCCGCCTCTGCGGCCAAAACAGCTCTCGCCCAGGAATCTTCATCAACAACCGGACTCTTTGATTCCGAATAATCCTCTTTTTCGGCGGGATAAAAATCCTCTTTTAACCAGGTCCTTGTACCTGTGAGAGTTCGCACTTCGATTTGTGAGATGTAAACGTAGTCATCGCTGGGGTACTCCTCCACGGGCTGTTCCTGGGCGAGTGAGTAGCGACGGAAGTGATGGTATTCATCCGGCTCCATGTCACCCATCAAAGCCGAATCCGATGCGCGGCGTTCACTGTCCAAGAAATCGGCATTCAGGTGCCGCGAAAAGTTCTCAAAATTAATGCTCGAGGCGGCCAATCTATCTAGTAACTGATCCTGCAGCTCCCTCTTCGCAGACTCCGCTTCAATATCCCTCAACTCGGTTAACTCCTCTTCTCTCAATGGTGAACGACTCTGGCTACGTGATCGCTGGAACTCGGCTGTTCGGTGACGCAAATCATCCAGTTGGGCAGGAGATATGTCCTGACATTCGCCAGCTCTTTCTTCAGAGTAAGTCTTGGGTTTGGCGCCTAAGCGATTATCGGTTAGAGAATCTAGAATGGCTGCTTGGAGTTCCCTTTGGGCTGCCGCCTGCTCTATGGCGAGATCCATGCTCATTCCTGGAGATGGGCTACGGGACCTTTGAAACTGAGCTGCCTCGCGACGTAACTCCTTAAATTGATCACTTCCCAGATCCATCGATTCACCCACATAGGTGGAGCGTTTGAAGCCGCTGGCCACGAGTTCATCCTGCAGATCCCTGGCCACCTCGGAGATCGTGCGATCTAGATCCGGGTTCTCCCGTGTCATCTCAACCACTCTCTCAAGTTCTGAATTGGTGGGGCTGAGCACTCGCAACTCTATTTCCTTATTGGCATTGTGGAGTTTCTCCAACGCCTCTAGGTCCAACTCACGTTGCCTAACACTCGCGGCCAGGACACTTTCCAACTCCTCGCTGTTTTTGCGCAGAGTGCGCAACTCACTGCCCTCCAAATTAAGCATCAGATGGAAATCATCTGGCACTGGTTGTGGTGACTGGGATCTCGAACGAGATGGCGACAAGGATCGCATGTCGCGACCTTCTACTACATGTTCATCTTTCTCCTGAACAAACTCGTACACGTACTCCACTGTCAAGCGGGTTTCGGGATCCGGGGTCCTTGCTCTTTCCTGGAGCACCTCGAAGAACTGATCGTTCTGAGCTATCAGCTTCTCGCGTCGCTTCTGCACACTCTGCTCCAAATTAGCGGCTGTGGGGAGTGGAGATCGCGAACGGGATCGAGAATGGGAACGCACACGGTTCAGACGCAGCTGCTCAAAGAGCCTGGCCATGCTCTCTGGGGTATCCTCAGGTTCTGCTTCGGTTTGGATTACAGTTTCATCTGGTGGTGCCACGATTTCAATAGATACGGTGGGTTGGGGAAGTGGAGTCCTGGGCGGCGAAGCGGATTCTATTATAATTTCTGGCGATGGCATTTGTTCGTGTAGTTTCTCAAAGATTTCATCATTATGTTGAATACGTTTCAGACGACGACTTTCCAAGCTCTTTTCTATGTTATCTGCCGTGGGCAGCGGGGAACGGGAGCGGGAACGTGATCTTGACCTGGAGCTGGCGATTCTCTCAGCTCTTAAGTTCTCCACAAAGAGTCGCATCTGTTCGGGCGTAGTTTCGGCATCCTCCATGGGCTCATCAACCATTTCATTAATCTCGATCACGGGCTGCGGCAGAGTCACCTCCGATTGAGGACTTAATCTTCCATTGCCATTAGTTTCGATTTCCATGGAACTCTCCGAACTAGAGTGTGATAGTCGTTCAGCGAGTTCATCGTTCTGTTTGATTAGTCGCTCTCTTCGCTTGTGGATGCTTTTCTCCATATTCTCCGAGGTGGGAAGCGGAGAACGGGAACGCGATCGGGATGGTATCCTGCCAACGGAAGGCTCTCTCCCCCTTTCTTCTAAAGCAGCACCAAGAGAAGCTCCTTCTTGGGGTTCGTATACCATTGGAACCATGGAATTGCCATTCCTTGCATCATCGGCCACAGTTTGTATTTGAAGCTGTTCATTGGAGGATTCGTTTCCATTCAAGTTCGATTCCAGGAGTTGAAGCACAGACTCGCAATTGAGTTCGCCTGCTACTACACCCTCCTCGGTATCGTCGAATACTTCTAGCGATCGTTCGGTGTCCACGTCCATGAGATTAGCCACGTTCTTGGGAGCTGGTGAGGGGTTTCGCGATGCTGAACGGGATCTTGAAGGGTTAACGGAGGCCGTAAAGTCGTAGAAGTCGCTGAGTCCTTCCATTAGCAGACCATACTGATCCCGCCAAGGTGCCGTATCCGGTTGCTGGACATTGATGGATGGTGCTGCTCGCTGTGGCTGCTGTTGCACTGGCTGCTGTTCCTGACTGGCGGACCAGCGCTCCGCGTAGTGCTCCATCTCATCCATGCGCGGACTTCGACGCAGCCCAGGAGAGCCACCCCTTGATTGCTCCTCTGTTGCAGAAGAGGTGTGCAACTTTGGAGGGGGGGAAAGCGGGAAAGCAAGCGGAAAGCGGAAGCGATAGCAATATGAAAAGCAAAGAGGTAAAGCTGTTAGGCACAGTTAGTTAAGCAGCAGTGGGGTAAAGGCTTTTGTGGATCAAGTTTGGATCGGGTTTAGTGGGTGTAAGGTGTGTAGCTAGGTGGCTGTCCTACGCACTTACATTGGCTTTGTTGCTGTCGCTGGTCTCCGCTCCTTGCATGTTATCCTTCTTTGTTTCCTTGTCCTAACACACATAATTTATTATTCATCAAGATCCTTGACTGATATTTTCATCCACTCACCACCTGCTCCTTGGAAAGTTGCTGCTTTAGGGCAGCCACTGCCTGTTCGTTTTGTGCCTCAGTGGCCTCCTCAAAAGAGGAGGATTTCGGCTCATTTGTGGCTTCGTCCTCCACATCTTCTCCTTTAGAGGGTCTCTCCAGCTCGATGCTCTCTTCGTCTATGGAGAGGGCTTTCTCCCGCTTCCAGAACTCGGTGTCCTTGTAGTGTTCCGGTACCACCTCTCCCCAGGGGTTTGTGCTCTCCTCGCCGAGCATCTCCAGGGATCCACTCGTCTCTGCTGGCTGTTTCACATCCTTTGCTGGACTTCTTTTGTGGCGGCGATGGGATTTCACCCTCAGAGTGGGTTCACTCGTATACTTAATGGGGTTGTAGTCGCTCCGGTCGCCATGACGCAGCTCCTCCTCCTCCAGCGAGGTAAACATCTTCAGCTCCTCGTCGCGGGAGGCGCGTGAGTCACGCGAGGAGTTGGAGCTGCCACTGGAGCGGCGCTTCTTGAAGGCCCTTCTCCTGCCTGAGCCATCTTCCCGGACCAATGGACGATTCTTGATTCCATCCAGGGAACGAAGGTAGTCCTCGGTGTACTGGACATCCTGTATTTGATCTTCCCCCTCAGGTTCTGGGCGTTCGCCTTCGGTGCGGTTGATTTCATCAGAGGGTTGGGTACTGAACGAAGACTGCAAGCTGGAAAAGGGTTCCACGGACGATCCTTCATCGGAAACGCCTGGGAAGGTGAGGGTCTTGGACTTGACCAAGTAAGCATCTTCGGAGCCACTTCCCTGTCCAAATTGCGTCTTCACTTTCTGCACCACCAGGGGCTCATCGGCTGGCTCTTGGAACCTGGGTGGCGCCACCTTCTTAATACAAGGTTCCTCCTCCACGGGTTCCATGCCGGCGTACTCATCTGCCTCTTCTTTGCTGTGGGTGGCTTGTAACTTGCGCTGCTGCAGCATTACCATCTCCTCCTCGGCCTCCAGGAACCGTCTGGCGTTCTCCTCGATCATCCGCTGCTTCTGCTCCAGGTCGGTTTTGCTGGAGATGAGGCGACGGGACTGCTCGGCAATGGCGGCCTCCTCTTCGAGTTCGCTCTCGGTGGCGCTCATGCTAAGCTCTCTTTCCGCTGCCAGAATACGCGCAACAATCTCTGCATCCCGCTGGGCCTGCTCTTCTTCATCGGCTTCGTCACGCTCTCGCTGGATCTCGGCTTCGAATAGAAGGCGCTCGGCGTCATCGGCTTCGGCTTCGAGTAAGAGTCTTTCTTGCTCGGCTTGCTCCCTTTGGCGCTCTGCCTCGAAGATCCTTCTTTCGTTTTCTTCCCGCTCGAGTTGCTCTTCTGCTGCTTGCAGCATTCGCTCTTTCTCTTCTCTCTCGCGTTCCGCCTCTATCAGTTTTCTTTCGTTCTCTTGGCGTTCTTTCTCTTCGGCTTCGCGTTCCTTCTCCTCTCTTTCGCGTTCTTTCCGTTCTCTTTCGCGTTCCGCTTCTATCAGCTTTCTTTCATTCTCCAGGCGTTCTTTCTCATCGATTTCGCGCTGTTTACGCTCGTTTTCTTTTGCCTCTAGCTGCCTGCGTTCTGCGTCTCTTTGCTCTTGCAGCTCCTTCTCCGCCTGCTCTCTTTCGCGTTGTCTTTCGGCTTCTAAGAGCTTTCTCTGCTGCTCCTCCGACTCTTCGCTCTCCTTCTGGATCCTTTGTCGTTCCTCAGCCAGTTTGGCTTCGGCTTCTGCCAGCTGACGACGCGTCTCCGCTTCGATCTGCTGTTGTCGGGCCAGTTCCGCGGCCAGAGCTTCTCGTTTTTCTCCAGCAGGATCCAAGCGTATGCCGTTGCTGTAAAGGACACCATCCTGCATGACATTGGTGCCCGCGAGGGCTTCCCTTTCCGCCGCCTCCTTGATCTCCTTGTCCAATCTCTCGCGCATTCGCGGCAGTTCATCAGAGTCGGCGGCTGCATCTGCAGCAGAAATGCTGGGATGCCGGAAAGTCCAGTGATAGAGATGGCGGGCCACAAAGGCGAACTCCAGGGCGCCCAGATAGCCAATTAGCAGCGAGAAAAGCAACTCGCCGACGCCGGTTAGCGCCGTCTCCTCAGCTGCCATTGCGTAATGCCCAAAATCGATTCCGAATCCGAGTCCTCCAACGGTCGGCGATGCAATGAGTATGCCTCGGCGAGAAACGATTCGGCCAACGCGTATTATATAAAATATATTCACCACGCACTCGAAAACTCACACCACTCACGTTAATGGCCACTCGATTAGGTAATTCGAAAAATATTTATTTCACTTTTGCCAGCCAATCATTGGACCAATCATCGATATATAAATGTATATATCTACGTTTTGAGACTTTTATGAGAGCGCGAAGTGACGAGAATCGGATGTGGGCAATTGGCAGACGGCTGCAGTTGGACGGACGGGCTCTTGTTTTCCGCTAATCGATCGTCTTGCAACTGATTAATGCCCCGGCGGCGGCAAGTGCCCAAGGGTCCGTCGATTTCTAGAGAACAAGTGAATCAGCGGCGAGAGAACCGCCAAGAACCGAATCCGTTCAAATGGCAAACGGCGCTAATTGACGGCCAGCGAAGAGAGCAGCCAACTGACAAGACATCGCCGACTTTTGTCGCTGGCAATTTGGCAACACAAATGCCTCTGCCTCAGCCGCTGCTGCACTGCCTCCGTGTCAAATGCCAAAGCAATCGGAATTGGCCAAGGCGGATTTTCTAATCAGTTTAGCCGACACCCCACCTGCCGCGCCCCCTTCTTTCGGGGGATCTATTTTGGTCCACGCTTCGATTGCTGTTTTCCACAATACACTTTTCGCCACTTTCTGCTTTGCTCGCAGTTTTCTTGCGGGAGAACACTCAGCGACATGGCCATAAATCAGATACGGCAAACAAATCACAAACATGCTTTCCAATAAAATAATTTACATAGTAAATAATTTAAGATTTGTTTACTAAATGTTACACAGAAAATGATCACACTATTTTCTTGAAATAGATTTACTCTGGATTTCACCATTTAAAATTACAGTTTTTTTTATGTTTTCATCCTGAGAATCAGGACTAGAACATATCATAGCATACTTATATGCATATTTTGGTGTGTTTTCAAAATTAAATTTGTAATTTTAAAACTTTTATGTTTTTCAATAGCTCTTTAAAATGTATTTTTTTACTGTTGTGTAACTTATTTTTTGTAAGTTGAATCTTTGAATCTTTAAAATGTCTTTTTCTACTGTTGAGTAAAAAAACTTTTTTTTTTAAGTTAAATCGTTTTTGGAATTCCACTTAAATTGATCATACGCACTTTTGGTGTCACAAGTATACAAGAAATCTCTCTAAGTCAAAAGTTTTATAATAATCAACATTATCATTACATTATCACTATAATAGTTAACATGATTATCATTATCAACATCACCTAATTATAAAATAATTTTTGTTTTGTAAGTTTAATCCTAATCTAAGACCAAAACTTTTTTTTAAAATAACCAACATCATATCATATGTATGAAAACTTATTACGTTCCGAAAACATTGCGAAAATATATCTTCTATAATTGAAACCATAAGTGTATGGATCGTACTGTACTTGCTGTTTGCAAATCTGTTTTTCTTTGGCATGGCCAGCGCCTGGGGCCAGGGTCGCCACGCCCCATTTCGCCGCCTCCGAGCGGATTGCACACAAATGTTTGCCATAAAATTCGACTTGGCACTGACACTAACATTGCCAGCAGCTTTCGGCCTGCTCTTTTCAGCCGACTTCTCTGCGATTCTCTTCTATGTTTTCTTTACATTATGCACCGCCAACAATAGACACAATCAGTAATTATTGTCAATTTGCACATAATTATGTTCTTGCCCCACATTACAGCCTAACTATTTTTAAATTCCTTTGTTTATTTTCGTCATCTGATTGTCATTAGAAATTGTGCCAAAAATACATAAATTTAAATGAATATATGGGTCGTCTGGGTGCATATTTATTTATGTATTTTTCCGCAGCGAAAGCGAAAGTTTTTCTTTGTGATGGGTTGGGAAAATTATCAAAGCAGTGAATGAATGTAAACGTAATTGAAAATACGGTATACATTTGGGAAATATTTTAAGAAATTCGTTTGTATTAAGCTCTTGAAATAGAAAAGCAAGTTTAACTGGTAAAAATGTATATCATCATCTCAAAATCAATTTAATCACACAAAATTTTAAAGTAACAAATGAAAAGTACTTTTTGAAAAGTTTCAATTCAGTTCTTGCGTCTATAACTTTTTTCTGTTGTTTATTCTTCTTAAGCAATTATGTCCGCAAATTTGAAAACTGTATCGATTGGTAGTGATCAAACGAAAGCGGATACCTTCAGTGATTTTTGCAATCTCTGACCTTAACCGCGATTGCCACTAATTTCCGGCTCACTCGCAGTGAACTTCCGCTCGAGGGATGACAACGCGTCAACAGCCAATGCTGCCGATGAACTGCTGTCGCCTCTTTGTTGCCATCGCCATCGCTGAGTCGCTGCATTTGCGGAGCTGAAGGACTTCCGTTCCACCCGCTCCTCCCGCATGGTTCCACTTCTAAAGTGAAGTTCAATGAAAATGCCATAACCTTTTGGGGAAAAGGGCGATAGCCGCACCTAGGCAATAAACGCGAACTGCGTGTGGTGGGCGATAAAAAGCAGGGACCGTGACTGTGGGCACTCACTCACACGGACACTCTCAGTTGGGAAGTGAATGACACACAGATACCATCTGCGAAAAGCGCCCCAAAGTATGCCACACAATAATTTTCAATTAGGGATCGGCAATGGGGGTGTAGAAAATATTGGGGACGTTGGGCAGATGGGAACTTAGAACTTGGGGACTCACCTCATCACAGCCAGCGCAGCGGGGCTTCAGCAATTCCGCATAGTGGCGCTCGCAGTAGACCTTGTCGTCGTGGACGCAGTAGGTCAGGTCCACCAACAGCGAGTTGCAGGTGCTGCAGGTGAAGCACTTGGGGTGCCACATCACGCTCTCCACGAACTTGGGCGCCGCCACCACCAGCTCGCCGGCGGCTATCTCGTTATCACAGTGCGCACAATGCTCATCGTAGGGGGCATCCTTGATGTAGGCTATTCAGACGGAAGATAAAGCAGGACGCAATCAGTTAAGTCATCCTGGGCGGGTTACCGTGCGGGAATTAAAACAAATGCTAGCCTCAAACTTTATGTAGGGGAGAACCCAGTAATTACTGGATTGCAAATCAACACTATACTATACATGTCACAGAATTCATGTTATTTAGATGACTTTATAATTGTTTAAGTGTGTATGTATTGTACTCTCACTGTAGGTTTGGATTTGTAATAAATGGGTAAAACGTTAATATGAAACTAAAACACCCTGCAAGAGCATAAAAACGTGTTTAATCAAAGGCAACAGTACGTATGAGTGATAAACTGTATGGCGAAAGATCTCCAAACTTTCATATTCAGTTTTCTTCACCCAAAATATAGTTAAGACCGTTATAAACCGTTTTCAAATTAAATGGCTTATTTTACTTATTAATATTAATTAAAAAATTTTAGTAAGTCAAATTTTATTCCGAAAATAAAATTCCAAATAGATGTTTGTAAATAAAAGTTTAACATAAAAAAAAACTTTTAAAAATGATTAATGCGTTAATATAAGAAGCCAAATAAGGTCGACCATTTAAATATTTAATTTGTCAATAACTTTGAAGACAACTCACCTATATCCAGTGCGATTTCGTTCCGCGCCGTCACAAAGTCCTCGAAGGAGGCCTCGTGCTGCACCTCCAGGTGCTTGCAGTGCTCCAGCGACAGGTCCTGTTTGGGCAGCTGGTACGAGATCTGGCGCTCCCGGCTGCAGGCTCCCTCGCTGCCCAGCCGGGGCACTGCCTCCTCCGGCAGCTGCTCGAAGTAGCGGTTGATCCGCGACGAGGCCCGCGCCCCGGGCGGAACCCACGTGAAGCCCAGGTCCCGCGCCTCCACTCCGGAATCCGCCGGAGAAACCAGCTTGAAGCCCAGTCGCTCGTGCACGTTGGTCGTCTGTTGCTGGTAGATGGCATGTGCCTCGCGAGGACATTTGCAGGACTGGCAGGTTTTCCTGCAAAATTAATTGGAAATGGTTACGTTAAAAAGAGTAACGATTTAGAATTATTTGAAATTGTTGCATCATTAACAAATGAGAAAGCCAAATACTTTAACGTTCATACAACAAGATACCATTGTTAATTTTGCTATTAATATTTTAATTATTCAAATCCTAAATTTCGTATTTATGTCGTATATGGTTACAATCTTATTTCAGATGCCATTGCTAAACGAAATACTGAGCCCACTGAGTGCCGACTGTATATAAAGTAAAATTAAATAAAACATCGTTTGTGAAAACAACCATTAATTAATACATCCGTTAAGTCTAAGCTTTACAAGAATTGAAACAAAAAAAAAATGAAGTAAAATAATATCCAAATATATGTAAGAAGTCATATATATAAGATTTTTGTTTGTCAATTATTTCAGCATTTTTATGTTTTCTCTATGAAAAAATATTGTCTATAAAGGCTTTATAAATTACATATATAATTAACATGCCTGTAGTAAAAATGAAACATTGTACATTTTGTGGGGAGAACAGAATTAAATTAAAAGTCGAATGTTAGTTTTTGTCCTACCCAGCATATGCTATTGTAAGCAATAAGTCCCCCACTTATGCGTAGCTTTACCAAACAAATTCAAAATACATTCCACTCTGCGCAACTTTGTTTCACTTGGGCGGAATTTCGCGTGGCGCCATCCAGCGGCAGCTTTCCGAACCGACGACCGCTTACCTCACTATGAGATCGTATATTTCTTCCTTGTCGAACACCTTGCAGTAGGTGCTGAGAACGTTGAGGCAGGCGTAGTCCATGCCGGTCCAGGGGACGTCGGAGGAGGCCAGTGCCGCCCACAGTGGGCACAATGCGTGACGGTCCAGATCGAGCATTTTCACCATTTTACGCCACTTTTAGCCGCACTTTGAACTATGGGTTTTCGACAGTTTATCTGCTTCGTTTTATTCCTATCACTGCTGCCTTCTGTCTTAATGAACTTGGCTTTCGTGTGTTTCTGTTTAAATATCTTTTCTTATTGCCTGACTCGGCACAATTTGTCGGTTCGTCTTTGGTGCTTCGCTCTGCCACCTCCACGAAAATAAGAGAAACTCGCGGTTAAAGTTAAATCACCTTTCATTCGGCACGTCGGGCTGCGTTATTTGCTCATTGACATTTTGATTATAGCGTTAATTTGACCTTTGTTCTGATACGATTTGTTTACTATCAAAGAATTCGGGTTTACCTACGCGAAGAATTCTGCGGACTAGGAATTTCTGCAATTGCTTGTTTACTTATTTTTCAATTAGAGATACAAGCAAAATAATCGCAGTCATAAATACGCCCACACCAAAGGAATTGTGTTATGGGTACACAGCGAGACAAATTGCACTAGATTAGAATATTAATCAGCTTTTTAGGGAAACTCGTCATTTCTCAAAATACTAATAAATAAAATAAAAACTATTTTGTGTATTTTAAAAAACATTAATCATTGGCATGAA